TACTTTCGGTGCCACGAACGCTGAAAAACATTATCCTCTATGAATCGGGTATAAATGGGATAATAATATTGTGAATGTCAAAGTCTAGAAGTAGATGAAGCCTTTTCCTGTGCTTAATTTCTTGATTTAGATGATATTTTCCTTTTGTGTGTAAAGCTACAAGGTACATTGATTATTTCTAGATAAAACCATCTATTTTGTTTTAGACAAACATAGCCTGTTGTAATCACATGATCGCTCCCTTTACAGCCAAGTCCTCTCACCAACTTTTTCTACAAATCAATTTGCTACTAATTAAACTTTAGCACTATCATTTAGAGTGATAATTAATGTGGGGACATGTATCTATGGTCTGTGACGATTTTACCCTTCGTATCTTTCCAAAATTTAAATTAAAAAATAAATCATAAAAAAATTTAAAACAAAAAGACGGAATTCATAACCACATGAATTGTAAGCACGAAAAGAGAACTAAGCTGTTTTTACAAAGTTATTTATAAGGGACTGCATTATAATTTTGCAAATGCCTTTCCGGACCACATGTCTCGCTTCGTGATCAAATCTCTGAATAGCTTTAACAGTAAATTCTTTTATTAATCCGCCCTTTTGTTTAGTAATATCTTTTTTTTTTATACACGATGCTTGGACCATTTATTAATAACAAAGAAATCTTAAGGTTCAAGGAACATTGTTAGAATGGCGATGTGTCGATCTGTGATGATTGGTAATAATTGACCTTTTTTCTATAAAAAACTGCAGTAGCCAACCGAAGTATATATATAAGAATTAAGCGGCTACTCCCTAATCCTATTTAGTTCCAGCTTTTCTCCTAGCTCTTTTAATTAAAATGTTTAATTAAATTCCCCCTTCCCTTACAAAAGTTGATGGTTATATATTATTCGGTATACCCACCTTTTTAAGGATTATATGTCACCTTAATTATAAGATCAATTATAATTCTCTCAACTTCAACGAATTTATAACGTGGATTGTGATTACAAGTCCAAAGTTCTGACGAGGGTCAGATGTCAGAATTGAAGTTCCTCTCTTTGGATTTTGAAGTCACGGGCTCACAGTGAAACCAAAGAAGCAGTTTTTTTTTTTTTTCAGCTCAAAAAAAAAAAGAAACAGTTTTTTTTTTCTTTTTTTTTTGCATATAAGACTTTCAAAAATTAGGCGAGCTATATATAGTCCTTAGGCAAAATGATAGTGCGTGAAAATCCTGCAAATAATAATATTAGTAAAAATAATACCTAAGATATTAGTTATAACTAAAATTTAGAGGGAAATTCAACATAATAGATAATGTTTGGGAGAAATCCGGCCCAATCAGAAGGTCTTATTTATAATAGCTAGAAATGAGTAGTGATAAACTACAATACTACTCCTACCACTATTTCTACAATGCAATAGAAAAAAAACATGGGGCCCATTCTTCATAACTTTTTAAAATTTGATAACTCAACAATGGAGTCCACATTTTTCTCTCTTGTACTTTAGAAGTAATACAAGAGGGAGTAATATAGTAGTTATTATTATTCATTTTAACTAAATATATATGCTAAAAACCAATTTTAACCGTAAACCTTAAGCTCTAATTCTTATCTAAATTCATCATTCTTTCTGCACGCTCAAATATAATTATCCTTCACTGATAAAAACATGTCTGACATAAGA